GCCGCCGCACCCTCCGGGCAAGGCACCGACGCCGCCGCCGTCGCCCTCGCCCTCTCCGCCGCCACCGTCGGCCTCGCCCTCTCCGCCACCGTCGGCTTCGCCGTCGCCGCCGCCACCGTCGGCCTCGCCCTCGTCGCCACCGCCGCCAGCCCCGCCCTCGTCGCCTCCTCACCCTCCGGAGAAGGCGCCGACGCCGCCGCCGTACCCTCCAGGCAAGGCGCCGACGCCGCCGCCCTTCCCGCCGGGCGAAGCCCCCGCCCCGCCTCCTCACCCTCCGGGCAAGGCACCGACGCCGCCGCCCTTCCCGCCGGGCAAGGCGCCGACGCCGCCGCCGTACCCTCCAGGCAAGGCGCCGACGCCGCCGCCCTTCCCGCCGGGCGAAGCCCCCGCCCCGCCTCCTCACCCTCCGGGCAAGGCGCCGACGCCGCCGCCCTTCCCGCCGGGCAAGGCGCCGACGCCGCCGCCCTTCCCGCCGGGCGAAGCCCCCGCCCCGCCTCCTCACCCTCCGGGCAAGGCGCCGACGCCGCCGCCCTTCCCGCCGGGCAAGGCGCCGACGCCGCCGCCCTTCCCGCCGGGCGAAGCCCCCGCCCCGCCTCCTCACCCTCCGGGCAAGGCACCGACGCCGCCGCCCTTCCCGCCGGGCAAGGCGCCGATGCCGCCGCCGCCGCACCCTCCGGGCAAGGCACCGACGCCGCCCTCTGTGCCGCCGCCGTCGCCGCCGCTGCCGCCTTTGTCACCGCCGCCTGTGCTACCGCCCCCCTCTCCGCCGACGCCGCCGGCCATTCCACCTCCACCCTTCCCGCCTCTGCCGCCGCTGGTCTTACCGTCGCCGCCGCCGCCGCCGGCCTCGCCCCCGCCGCCGCCCAAGGTGGGCTGCACAAACCCCGCGGCGGACAACTACGACTCCCTCGCTGGGGTTGACGACGGCAGCTGCACGTTCACCGTGTACGGCTGCCTCGACAGGTCCTACCCAGCCCGTAGCACTCATTCCTTCGTAGCACTTGAGTCAACATGGTAGCGCGTAGCACTCGGTCGATCCGTGACGGAATGAATCACGACGTGGCTCTTGACTCGTAGCACCGCCCTGAACTTCTTCCCCGAGGCGGAGGCGGGGTGCGAGGCTGTTCCGATCTCGTACGCGGAGATCTCGTGCCCGTGCGTCGCCAACGTCTCCGGCTGCACGTCGCCCCTCGCCGTGAATTACAACTCGAACGCAACGGTGGATGACGGGACGTGCATCTTCCCCGACGGGTGCACCAACTCGACAGCCCTGAACTACAGCCCGAACGCGACGAACGACGACGGCTCGTGCATTCCAAACATCCGCGGCTGCACCGCGTCCTCCGCCGCCAACTACAACTCCCAGGCGACCGTCAACGACGGCTCGTGCGAGTTCCCCGTCTTTGGCTGCACGAATACAAGCGAGATGTAGCCGAGATCACGCGAGATTGGCCGAGAGTGCACTCTGGGGGGCGCGATGCTGCACCGCTGTCCTCGCCTGGAGCTTAGCCCGCGCCGTAGCCCTCCCGCAGTCAGTCAGTCAGTGTGACACACCTCCGAGCATGGAGGACGGGCCCACACGCGCACACACACACGCTGCACACGATTGGCTCGGGAGCCGACTCGAGGCACGCTGTCACCGGCCGCATCACTGGGTCCGGACTGCTGGACGCACAGATCACAGCACACAAGACAGCTCACGAGGTGGAGCCCTCCCGCAGGCACCGACAATTACCCTCCCCTACCCCACGGTACCCGAACCCACCCTCCCGAGCCCTCCCGCAGGCGCCGACAATTACAACTCGTTCGCGGACGTTGACGACGGGTCGTGCGCCTTCGAGGTGTACGGTTGCGTCTTCTCGCAGGCGCTGAACTACAACTCGGAGGCCACCGTGTACGACGGCTCGTGCGTGTTTGCAGTCCTCGGATGCCAAAATTCGTCGGCATCAAACTACCGGCCCGACGCGAACACGGACGACCCGCAGAACCCGTGCGTCTTCCTGGTGGAAGGCTGTGTCGACACGGCCGCCCTCAATTTTGACTCGGAGGCTCAGATCCTCGACGACTCGTGCGTCTACCCCGTGCCGGGCTGCCTGAACGCCACCGCCGTTAACTTCAATTCGGCGGCGAACGAGGACGACGGCTCCTGCGTGGAGGCGCGGCCCGGCTGCGAGGACCCGGCCGCGGACAACTACGACCCGCTCGCGAACGAGCCCAACCCGGACGCGCCGTGCGAGTACACCGTGGAGGGATGCACCAACTCGTCGGCCGTGAACTACAACTCGTTGGCCACCGTGCCCGACGACTCGTGCGTGCCGGAGATTCCTGGCTGCATGGCCTCCCTGGCCCTCAACTACCGTTCGTCGGCGAATCGAGACGACGGCTCGTGCGACTTTCCTACGTTTGGATGCACGAACTCGAGCGCCCTGAACTACCTCGCCGACGCCACCGCGGACGACGGTAGCTGCATCTTTCGCGTGCCCGGCTGCACGCGGCCCGGCGCGCTCAACTTCGACTCCGAGGCGACGGTGGACGACGGCAGCTGCGTGGACGCGGTGCTCGGGTGCACGGACGCCGCGGCGCTCAACTACCGCCCGCTGGCGAATCGAGACGACGACTCGTGCCTCTACTTTGGGTGCCCCAACCCGCGCGCCGACAATTACGACGACCGCACCAACGCCAACAACCAGTCCGTCGTCGTCGACACCAACGGCACCGCGTGCGACTTTCCCACGTTTGGATGCACGAACTCGAACGCGGCAAACTACATGCCGAACGCGACCTCCGACGATGGGTCCTGCTTCCGCTTCGCCTGCGCCCAGTCGGACGCCCCGAACTACGACGACACGTGCGGGGCCGCAGCAGGGCTACCTTGCCTCGACGACGGCTCTTGCCGGCCAAAGATTGTCGGCTGCTGCGTCT